ACAAACTATCGCCGGTGTTTCCCACTTTTTTTTCTTCTTAGAAGTGAATGATGTTTAGGAAACTGTTAATGCGAGTATCCAACCTAAGCGGTAGATTTTAGTGCGAGTCGATACATTGCTGGGGAAAATAGCAAAAAGCGCCGATGTCGTGTTTGCGCTAACAGTGTCGCGTAATGTACGCATACCGCTGCACAATCAACGCTAACGGAGTGAATCAGTAAATTTGGTGGCCCCCCAAAAAAGTGGTGTGATTTTGTTTTGTTTTTATGGTTGAAAGGTTGTTATTTTTATACAAGCAATTCGGTAAAGAGTGCTTCCATTGGGCACCAACTTACGAGGCATCAATTTGTTCTTATACACTAAATTCTGCATGGGCCTTGCGTAAAAATGTCAATATTGCGTTCGTGCTAGCTGTTTCACGCACAGTAAGAAGACCACTTCATTGCTCAAACATTTAAACTAGGCCTTTCTTACGCCAAATAAACATTTTGCGAGTACACTCTATTACGGGTGGTTCATAAAATAACCTACGTTGTTTATTTGGAGGAAAGGAAGTAGTGGTGAGGGGAGGCGGAATTGAATACAAAAGATGACTCTAGGGAATCTCGAACTCTGTAAATATTGCGCACAGCCTATAATTCTGAGTTAATTACTTCACGTTTGCTTTGTCTGTTTCAGAATTTGTTAACAGTCGCGCTAAAGGCCAAGATGAGCGACAAGTCAGATTCCCCTGTTTACTTGAGCAAGAAGCGTATGCGAGAGGGGGAAGGGGGGGGGGGGGGAGGGGGAACTGAAAAAGAATACGAGTGTAACCGTAGCAATCTCCGACCAAGCCTGAACCATGCACACTTTTTCTGAAACCGCGGAGCTGACTGCTTTGGACGATTTGATAAAGCAAGCCAAAGCCGTTAATAAGTGTGACTCGTTGTCAGCTGTGATAATCAAGGCGCTAAGACGATTCCTTGAAACCTTTCATCTATTAAAACAAATTGTGCAATAAATCCATTGCCATATTATGCTTGCGCTGATCTTGGAGCGGTATGCGTGCATTACGTGGCACTGTTAGCCCGAACGCGACATCGGCGCTTTTTACTATTTCTGCCAGCAACAGGTATTTTCTAGCACTGAGCTCTGCCACTTAGGCTGGATAATTCCATATCAGTTTTCTAAACATCATTCACTTTTAAGAAAACAAAATTAGAAAGACCGGCGATAGTTTGTCCGTGCTGTGTGGCAGTATACCTAATATGTCTTTTGCAATGACAAATTACAAACGCGTTTCATGTCAAAAAAAGATCGGCTACATTTTTTTTTTTTTAAATTTTTTATTTTTTTATTTTTAATGCTTCAAAACTACTTCAAAGGGGCAGCATGTGCTATAGCACCGATTTGAGCAACATTGAATTATAACACGACACGCTTCGATAGCCGCACTCACTAAAGAATGCTCTCAGAAAGGTTATAGCTTATATATTGTTGTAGGGTACGGTTATCCAAGAACTAAAGACGATCCACTAAAACTTTTTAGTATCGACACACACCATTGCTGCCTTCTCACCTCATGTGGTTGTTGGGATGCGTAATAAATGTCATCTACATTCGTTGGCCATCATGTAGTGTGAGATACGCACACAATAATTTGTGCTCGCTGCTAGAAAACAGAGACCTTATACAAGATGCTCGCGCCCCGGTATATCGTTTTCTTTTTCTTCGATCCCAATCTGAGGCAGGTTTGAGCGTGATAAGCCGTTTTTTTGAAGGTGGAATGTTTTGTGAAGATGTAAGTCATCCTTACATATTCAAGTCACCACACCTCGCGCATGTGTTTTGAGCTCCTTGATCAACCGAAAATTTCTATGAAACGTTCCTTCAATGGGTGCGGGGATGCATCGCAGCTATCAAGTATGCGTTTATTTTGCCACGGGCTAAACTAAAGAACTTCGACAGCTCAAATTCGGTGACTGCGAGGGCGCAGCCTTGCAGCTCCGTGAAACCTACACCTGAGGTGCTAGGCTTGGCGAGAGCCAAAAAATAAAGCAGATTACATAATAGGAGTTGAAGATACCCGTAAGTCACGAGGTCGCTGCTGCCGCACCCATCGTCCGTCGCTCAGAAAGGGGATTTTCTCGGCTTATCCTCTCAGAAGAAGCCGGCGCAAAAGGGGACTTTTCCCTTCGCCTCGCCGTGCTACAATACAAGAAGAAAGAGGGCGAGGAGGACTTTCCGCCAGGCGGAAGAATATTTCTGCTGGTCCCTCTTTAAAGAGGAACAAAGCAGAAAGAGAAGCTCAAAGTGAGACACAGCAGAGGGAGAAGCTTAAAGTTAGACAAAGCAGAGAGAGAGAAGCTTAAAGTTAGACAAAGCAGAAAGAGAAGCTCAAAGTTGGACAAAGCAGAGAGAAAAGCTCAAAGTTGGACAAAGCAGAAAGACAAGCTCAAAGTTGGACAATTTAGAAAGAAAAGTTCAAGGTGGGACAAAGCAGAGAGAGAAGCTCAAAGTTGGACAAAGCAGACAGAGAAGCTTAAAGTGGGACAAAGTAGAAAGAAAAGCTCAAAGTGGGACAAAGCAGAAAGAGAAGCTCAAACTTGGACAAAGCAGAGAGAAAAGCTGAAAGTGGGACAAAGCGGAGAGAGAAGTTCAAAGTGGGGCAAAGCAGAGAGAGAAACTCAAAGTTAGACAAAGCAAGAAAGAAGCTTAAAGTTGGACAAAGCAGAAAGAGAAGCTCAAAGTTGGACAAAGCAGAGAGAAAAGCTTAAAGGGGGACAAAGCAGAAAGAAAAGCTCAAAGTGGGACAAAGCAGAGAGAGAGGTTCAAAGTGGGACAAAGCAGAGAGAGAGAATTTCAAAGTGGGACAAAGCAGAGAGAGAAGCTCAAAATTGGACAAAGCAGACAGAGAAGCGTAAAGTGGGACAAAGCAGAAAAAGAAGCTCAAAGTGGGACAAAGCAGAAAGAGAAGATCAAAGTTGGACAAAGCAGAGAGAAAAGCTCAAAGTTGGACAAAGCAGAGAGCGAAACTCAAAGTGGGACAAAGCAGAGAGAGAAGCTCAACATTGGATAAAGCAGAGGGAGAAGCATAAAGTTGGACAAAAAAACTCAAAGTTGCACAAAGCAGAGAGAAAAGCTCAAAGTTGAACAAAGCAGAATGAGAAGCTCAAAGTTGCCCAAAGCAGAAAGAAAAGCTCAAAGTACGACAAAGCAGAGAGAAGTTCAAAGTGGGACAAAGCAAAGAGAGAGAAGCTCAAAGTTGGACAAAGCAGACAGAGAAGCTCAAAGTGGGACAAGGCAGAAAGAGACGTTTAAAGTGGGAGAAAGCAGAAAGAGAAGCTCAAAGTTGGACAAAGCAGAGAGACGCTCAACTTGGGACAATGAAGAGAGAGAAGCTCAATGTTGGACAAAGCAGACAGAGAAGCTTAAAATTGGACAAAGCAGGGAGAAAGGCTCAAAGTTGGACAAAGCCGAAAGATCAAAGTTGGACAAAGCAGAGAGAAAAGCTCAAAGTTGGACAAAGCAGAGAAAGAAGCTCAAAGGTGGACAAAGCAGAAAGAGAAGCTCAATGTGGGACAAAGCAGAAAGAGAAGCTCAGTTGGACAAAGCAGAGAGAGAAGCTCAAAGTGGGACAAAGCAGAGAAAAGCTTAGTTTGACAAAGCAGAGAGAAAAGCTCAGTTGGACAAAGCAGAGAGAAAAGCTCAGAGTGGGACAAAGCAGAGAGAGAAGCTCAAAGTTGGACAAAGCAGAGAGGAGCTCGAAGTGGGACAAAGAAGAAAGAGAAGCTCAAAGCTGGACAAAGCAGACAGAGAAGCTTAAAGTGGGACAAAGCAGAAAGAGAAGCTCAATGTGGGACAAAGCAGAAAGAGAAGCTCAAAGTTGAACAAAGCAAAGAGAGAAGCTCAAAGTTGAACAGAGCAGGGAGAGAAGCTCAAAGTGGGACAAAGAAGAGAGAAAAGCTCAAAGTTGGACAAAACCGACAAAAAAGCTTGAAGTGGGGCAAAGCAGAAAGAGAAGCTCAAAATTGGATAAAGCAGAGAGAAAATCTCAAAGTGGGACAAAGCACAGAGAAGCTCAAAGTTGGACAAAGCAAAGAGAGAAGCTCAAAGTTTGACAGTGCAGGGAGAGAAGCTCGAAGTGGGATAAAGCAGAGAGAGAAGCTCAAAGTGGGACAAAGCAGAGAGACGCTCAACTTGGGACAACGAAGAGAGGGAAGCTCAACGTGGGACAAAGCCGAGGAGGTTAGAACTACTAGGAGGGGGCACGTTGCAATATTGGTGAAGCCTAGACATAAAAAGTTTAAACGATATTGTGTCCAGCGTGACCGCAGATCTCTCTGGCGATTGGTGCGCGTGACATGTCACGTGCGAGATGGATGGTTGATTGTAGGAGGATTCCTTGCAGGCTTGCGCGCGCTCAGTACGGTAGGTTTTATCAGATCGAAGGCTAGCTGCGTTCACGTGATGTGGACATGTTCGGCTGATAAGTGAGGAGAGTAAGGAGGAAAATGAGAAAGAGGCGAGGCGTCAAGGGAGCATGGCTTGTGGGGGCTACGCGGCTGACGTCATGCCCTCTCCTACCCTTCTATTCTCCATGGACAAAGAAGTCGATCAAACCTCTTAAAGGTTCACTTAAAAAAAAAAAAAAAACGTTTTTTAGCAGTTTAGTTGGTGTCGAAAAATAAATTTTGCAAGAAAAAAAGTTTTTAGAGCAATATTGACGGCACGAGGCTCAATTTAGTTGGTAGTCACCTCATTTGCACTTGTTTTCGCTCTTTGCATTTCGGGCGCGTGGAGGAGGGGTGGATCTGCTTGACTATCACGTTGAGGTGGAGAGAGCGTATGACCATCTCGTTGAGGTGGAAAGAGAGTGTGACCATTCTGTGACTTCACGGAATTTGCGGGCATAATTTAACATAAATCTTGCACCGTCAATATTGCTCTAAATTTTTTTTTCGCGTAAAATTATTTTTGTTACACGCGTGTCCCTACAAGACTGTTTAAATTTGTTGTCTCTTTTCAGCGGCTATATAAAGCTGCATTCACACTGCTCATACAACATACAAAAAACAGTGTTCTCTGCAGACACGATAACAGAAATGTGTGCACACACGCCTCATGCATGTTCGAAGGATGTCCGCTTCATACATTCTTCGAACGCGTCTGAAGACATTTTTTTGTGTGTGACCATTTGTGACTGTCATACAAGCAAGAACCTCAGACAATGTCCGTCTTTTGTATGACGTTGTTGAGCGCAGCGCCACGAACCCGTCGCGGTGTCTGCTCGCATCACGCTCAAACGCATCCGCAGTCTCTCCATCTCCCCACTCTACTTCTCCACACCGCGAGCCGGTGCGCGTCCTCCTCGCCGGTTCCCCCCTCCCCCAACAGGTGTGCGTGGCAAGAGTCAAGCGAGCGGCGAAGCACGAGCAGGCACAAGTTGCCTCGTTGTGGTTTGGTGCGCGCGCCGGATTACGCCGTCGTCGTCCTCCCGTCGTCAACACCGGGACCGTCCCGGATTTGTAGCGACGTGCGAAGCCAGGATAAAAGGAGACACCGACACCCGGTGAGTACCTCTTACAAATTAGAAGACCCCTCGATGACGACCGCTCGCCGACCAGCGAACAAAGCTCGCTCGATCGGGTCTGTTCTGCTCGGATCTAGCCGACGACCACCAGCCCATTCAAACTTGTACGTGGGCGACTTGGCCGGGCATCATCAACTTCTGTCTCAGTTTGCGCGAGTGGGCGAACTTTGGAGTGCATGACGGCTGTGCCGCCGACTGATACCATGGGGCCTGAATGCTGAAGTTTGTCGAGCTTAAGCTGTCTTTTTTTTTCCCTTGATTTTTTCTTAACAACGCTGACAGACAGGCAGGGGATTGGGCTTCATGAAACGAAGATACGAAAGGGTTGCTTCTTGTACGTGTGTCCGCATTTGTTTTTGTTGTTTCCGTTAGGCTCATTTCTGTGTTCAATAAGACTATAACGTAGAACAGCCCCATTATATAATTGCTCATACAGCGAACATAGAGGTACAGCGAAGCGAATTAGAAGTAGACGCTTGTCATGCTGATATGGGCATGCTGCGTGCTGATTACTCTAACACAGTTAAAATAAAACATTCCCGAAAACAATTTTTTCCCCCCTGCAAACATGCTAATAAAATTTAAAAAAAAAAAGCCTTCACAAAGAAAAAGAAAAAGCTTCTATTTTTTTTTTTAGAGTAGGAGGCATTTTTTGAGCGCGTTTCTCTTATCCGTTACTTAGCCCATTAGTAAACGCGCAGGCGGTCTTACAAGGTCTTAGAACAAATGAGATTTAAATCACTATTCTCTATCGTGTCTTGTATTTGCTGCTGCGTACACAGAAATCAAATACAACAAACAAAGGTACACTATTGTGTCGCATGTTTTCTTTTATTAGATCACTAGTAGACAACATACGTCGTCGGCTGTTGTGAGGAGAGTTTAAAGGGAAGATGGAGCGGTTCTGCATTTGAGAAAAACACTTGAATTGTGTTCATTTGGCCGTTAGAATAACAAATGTCACAATTATATTTCAATGCGACGCGCCGGAGAGCTATAAGAGCAATTTCAAAATAGGGTTGAAGCCCCGCCTCCCTAGCCTTGGGCAGCCAAATGATCCGTCGATGACGTCACGGACAGCGACTGTCTTTCGCGTTTTCTCGCGTTTAACAACACTTCCGCAGCAAATGGTTTGGGTATTCGGGTTAATAAAGTAAAAATCCACTAGAATTCACTCCTAACTCTTTTTTTTTTTTAAGAAGCTCCGTAGCTTCCCTTTAATGGCGAGAACTGTACCTTTAAATTTCCACTCAATCGCTCCTAGAGGGAAAGGTGGAGAAAGAAAACAAATGAGGATTGTGCAGAGATTGGCAGGAACGCTCATCATATAAGTGAGCTGCGATTTATTTTTCTTAGAATTTGAAGGCAGTCACGGAAACGCAATCATATAAACAACGTTTTAATGATGCTGAGGTTTGGTATTAACAGTAGCCCGTCTCAGTAGAACACACAAAGGGGGATCGTTGGCCGAGTGGACTAGCGCTCACCAGCTCGGAGCACGTGGAGCGAAAGCTCACGCTGCAGAACCCAGGGCTCATGGGTTCAATTCCCACCCCTGCCCGTTTCGATCTGGATGAGGATCGTACCGGCGTGCGGTCGTGTATCACTACTGCGTGATGGACGTTAAACACCCCAGGCTAGCGGTTGTACTGCACTGGCTAAATTTCTCATCTACAGCTGGGAGACTTGTCGCCCGTTGAGGCAGACCAAGTTCTAGGCTGTATAAACATACAGACAACCCAATTTCTTTCTTTAATGACGATTCCTTTTGTATTGATGCTTTTTCGCATAAAACGATAGACCAAAACTACACGATACCGCAGGCAAACGAGCTCCCATACTTCGGTCCCGACCACTGGTCCCGACGTAAAACGGTAAGCCGAGATTCGAGTCCCGGCAGCCGAAATACTTGACAAAAAGGAGAAAAAAAAAGAGAAGAAATTAACAGTAATGTTTGTTGTATAACTTTCGGCCCCCGCGTGTGTGGCGGTGTGTACGCACACCGACAGCGCGGAGGAGGTCCGGCAGCGAGGGATGCATTACGAAGTCGTGCCCATGGAGCTGCATCGTGGTCGGGATCGCCTTGAATCGGCGGCAGCGTGGGGCAACGCGGGTGGATACGACCAGGAATTCCGACGAGGAAGAAAAAGAACGCCGCGCCGACCGCCCACTTCGTTAAAACGGGAGGCCGCCAAAGTGCCGTGAAGTAACTGATTACAACGAAGCGATCCTGCGGCACGGCGAAAGTGTCTGTGTACAAGACCAGCGCGCCACCCGCGCGTCAAATTTCGTGCGACACGTGGGTATTTCTTCTACAGACCAGCCCAATGCGTAGACAAGCGCTTTTTAACCACGCAGGAGCTGTTGGCAGCACAAGTTCGTTTTCGGAAGAGTGAAGCTTCTGCGCATGCGCCCTCTCGGTGTGACGTCAGAAACATGGCGAATGGAACGGGTCACCAAATGGCCGAAAAGAACGAAACTATGAGAAGGCCGCTTTTCCCAAACCTCCCGGAATAAACTACCTACGCTCGGAGTATCACTCCATTCAGCGATTTTTCCTCTGTCCGCCGCCATTTTGGTGCATTCCTGAGCATAAGATGCGTTTTAGACGCGCTTCTCTCAGCTCTCCATAGAGTATGAGTAAGCTTTGCTCTCTGTGGCGGCCTGCTCTCATATTTCTGGAGGACGGAAAGGCGTTTTCAGGCAAGGCTAAATGGCAACAATGATTTCAAGCACCGAGATGGTTGGAGTACACAGTTACTCTGAAGCCCCCTTTAGTTCTCAACGCGCAACGGTTTCCTGAAACCGAGATTTCGCGCGGTCGGTTAATTCGCACAAGTTTGACGCGCGAAAACCGTGACCTGTTGACTCGGACGAGGTTAATAAAGAAAGACGCGCTATATGCGAGGGCGGCGGATGAAACTGGGGAACTTGCGAAATAATAGGGGTGAGAGAAAAGGCAATCTGCGGTGCTGGCTGAACTGAACTGTGCATCATCCGGTCCTCAGCGCCGGCTTCTGTTTTGTGGTCCCTCTAAAGGAGAAGGGGCGTGGTAACTGCAGCCAGCCATTGAGGTCGTGGCTTGAGCCGATAAGATCAAATACCGAGCAACCAATCAAGCGCGAAACGACCGCCCAACGACGTCATGTGATAAGATACGCCGTGTGTTTCTATTCAGCTTAGAAATGAATGTTTTGATCGCTTTCGGCCACAGTTTGCTCCACATGTTGTTCTTCTGTACAACCATGGCGCATTTGGCCAGTTGGTAAACGTTGTGCGGAGCTGAGAAAGTCTAACGCCGCTACGAGACAGTCCGTTTCGGGCACTTTTTGTGCTAATCCTTGGTTGCTTTTCCGATCACAACCCAACCTGGAGAAGACATTACAGCTGGCGGTAGTAGCGGGCAAACTAATATTTAATTGATCAAGCGGCGGCTTTAAGTTTGAGGAGCACTTGTACCTGATGGGCATGAAGAGCTTAGTGAACGCAGTCGAAGCAAAGACACAACCACAACGAGGTCCTGCCGAGTTTGTCTTTTTCTTTTTTTTTTTTTTGTCTGAGTATTGCATTGTTTTTACCATCCTGTTTTTTTTTTCTTTGTTTGAGGGGAAAGGGGAAGGGGGTGTATTGCTAAAATGAACATTGTCTGCTCGTTTACCTCCGTTATTATTTTCCTCGACTTTTTTTGCTATTGGGGTTCTGGTAAAATATATCATTATCGTCGCCGTTAGCGAATCCGTAAGGGAAGAGATCTGAGAGTGCGCCATCGCGGAAGTCGTTAGCGTTTTAACCGGGAACCACGTTTTCCTCTAACGCCTGTTAGTCAGGCCAAAATAAATGTTTCCCCCTCCTATCCCTTCCTCACACCAAGTCCTCAAAGAAAGAGGGAAACCTCTCAGTTCTCTGGTCCGCTGACTGCGTGGTGTTCTTTGTTCGAACGGACCGCGAGAAAACGTCTGCAAACTTGAACCTCTTGCCGATCGGAAGGGATTACATTTTGATTTTAATGAAGATTCAGCGTTTAGGCTGTGTTGTGAGTGACGGGATTATCGGAGGCACGCCTCCATCATGTTCGAACCATGTTTACCTCATACATATGTATGCTTCGAACGTGTCACGCATAGGTCGGCATTTTAGAGCCCCTTCATTCACCATCACATCACAAACAAAATCACGTCTCCAAATTCATTCGCATTCACGTCACAAGGTACTCCGACCTCCCAAAGTCACGGCCCTTCACATCCCGGCGTTCAACCGTGCCAAAACTTCATCCCCTTCACATCACGGCTTTCAAACTCCGCCGAGAATTCATCCCCTTCACATCACGGCGTTCAACCGCGGCTAGAATTCATCCCCATCACATCAACGCCGCCTCCGAATTCACGGAGTCATTCACCATCACATCACCAATTCCCGAAGTCATTCACCATCACCACGAATTCATCGGAATTCACCATCGTGAAATCATCGGAATTCACCATCACATCATGTATTCATCCGAATTCACCATCACTTCACGAATTAATCCGAACTCACCATCACATCATGAATTCATCCGAATTCACCATCACGTCACGAAGTTATTCACCATCACGGTCAACACGAATCCACCATCACATCATGAACTCCGCCTAATTCACGAAGTCATTCAGGTTCATTCTGACTAAATTCGACTTCACGGCTGGTAGCCCTTCACGAGTTCGCAGTTCTTGCGGAATAGGACTGTGGCGCCTTTTTGTGTCAGCTACTTGAAACCAGGACCCGACTCCGCCGGGGAAGCAGGGTATTTCGACTGCGCGAAACGCAAAGCACATTGATAGAGCGCCAACCCAGCCAATGCCGCGCTGCGGTCGTGTCACGTGAATGTGCTCCGTGCGCCGGATTTGCTGCGCGGAACCGGCAGGTCACGTGATATGGTCTCGGCGCCGTTTTAGGTGCGCTGCTCGTGACGTCGGCTTCGTCCCTTTTGAAACGATATT